CACCACGGTGTGAACTTGAGTGACTCGAAACTTATTTTTCGAACTTGTGTAGCCGACTATCCAAGTTCTAACGCAAATACTACAATTTTCGTGTATATGTATGTAAGTGGCAACTTAAATTTTTCAAACAAAACAATTTGTGTGGTTATTTATATATCTACATGCATAGCTAATATATGTATATATAAATACATGCATATACATATATGTTGTGATATGGGAAATATATACTTCCCATTACAAGCAAATAATGCAATTGAAGTCAAAACTTATAGAGAAATTCAAGTTCAGTTTAATTAAACAAAAACTTCATCAAGCAAAAGTTGCAAGTTTTGAAAGTTTCATACTCACGTGTATATTTGTATGTGTACTATGTGTATTTATTAAGGATATATGTATGTATGTACTAGATGTGCAGTCAATGTATGTATATTTGGCTACAGGACAGTGTAATGCCACTGGATTTCTTACAGATATACAAATATAGTTGTTAATTAGCTAATGGTTTCATATGCCAAATTTGAGGTTATGACTTTGAGATGAAGGCTTTTTTGGTGGCAATTGCGCCGCTTAGCTATGAAATCGGGCGATCAACAACGAATACGTGGATCGTAAAGGCTAAATACAAATGAAATATTGGCGTTATGAAGTTTTATGCAATTTGCGCGCGTGTTAGTTAGAATTTAGCACTGTCGACATAAACTTTAAAATCGGCGCTCGTAGTGATTTTTTTAATACAGGCGAAAAAACGTCAGCGCGGCTAGCAATAAAGTAGGAATAAATAAAAATTTTACGCAAAAGTAATAACAGAAACTTTAAGAACTTACAGTGAAGCATACTTTTATGAGCTTCTTCTTCTTGATTGGCGTAGWCACCGCTTACGCGATTATAGCCGAGTTAACAACAGCGCGCCAGTCGTTTCTTCTTTTCGCTACGTGGCGCCAATTAGATATTCCAAGTGAAGCCAAGCTTTTATGAGCTGTCCGAACAAATTTCTATGCTTAGGTGAGGCAAATGTGTTGCCGTGATAGAGAACTTTGTCTTTGAAATTTCCATTTTTACTTAACACTTCTAAAATCTACTAAAATATCAGTGTTTAAACAATTTGACAACTCTACATATACATATACACTAAATATGTAAGTTTAAATGCATGTGCGTCTGAATGAATGTTTGCAATATTATTTGTGTAAGAAAATTTATTCACTGTACAATTATGTATATTCATTGGTAAGTAAGTAACTCACGATATGTTCTATAAAATATGTATGAATGTACGCACATATGTATACAACTTCATACACATACATACAAACAAATAAAAATCAATTCATTGCAATCTTGATGTTGCCCAATTTTAATCTCTCAATGCGATACTTAGCTTCCTTGAAAATTGTCCTTAAATGTTTTAGCATGTACGAATGTGTGTGCCAACAGTTGACCTAACTGTAGTGCTGTAAACCGCTTTGATGTCTCATTCAAACTGCTACACACCACTTCAGCGTGTGCATTTCACAATTTGTTTGCGCCACTCTGCTGCAGCGCATATTTGAAGAAACCGAAAATAGAGTATTTTGCACTACAACAACAACTACTAATTGGCTACAATACAATCGGAATACAGTTTTTCGTTATCCACATATGTATATGACTAGCTAAAATGACAATGTCCTCACACAGCAAACCAACCAACGTCTAATTCGAAATAGCAATTAAACACACACACACACACACACACACACACAATATTGTACTACTACCTAAGCCAAACCTATTAAATAAAAAGAAAATGAAACAAGAGAAAACCAAAATCAAAAATATAAATACATACATACATACATATATTGCTTCCCAATCTTCAGCGTCTGCAGATTATACATAATAATACAAAATAGAGATAAAAGTAATACAAAATAAATACATTTTTGGATAATTCAACAACATACATACATACATACAGAACATACATACAGCAAATAAAATCCAAAAATGTATGTACTAAATTTTAAGAACCCTTTTTTATTCCAAAACGTCCTCTGAAAGTGTAAGGTGGTAAATATATGTGTAATACATATAGGCGTGGCAAGTGCCACAAGTCGTAGTATGTATGTATCCAATAATAATTCACTGCAATGATATGCCGTGACGCGTATGCGAATGCTTAAATAATACACACACACACACACACACTCTGAGTAAATTTAAAACTAAAATGCGCTAATTATTCCAATTTTTAATTCAATGCATAACTTCTTTCATATGAAATACATACAAAATAAATGCAAACAAATTATATTATTATAATAAATAAAATATTGTCCAGCAGTTATGATGTATGACATGCAAAATGCGTATCGTATATATGCATATAAATTTATTGTATACATGCAAATACATCAACAACAACAAAACCATGGAAAAGTAAAATTTTGGAAATGAGCGCATATTTATATTTCATATGCATCCATATGTACATACTTACATATGTATATTATCTATGTATGAGAATGTACGTGCATGCGCATATGGACTATAAATGCATAATTTTTCAAACATAACGCTAAAAGCAAGAGAAAATCGTAAAAACAAGCAAGCGTTAATAAAAAAGCAAAACACAACCAGAACTAAAATTGAAAATAACAAAATAAAAAGAGAAATTAAAATAAAAACACATGGAGGCGAAGATTGAAATATTTAAGTTTATTGAAATTACAGTTTCTTAATTATAAAAAAAAAACAATAAAAGATAATTTAAAACACAAGGTGAACTATGCGTTTCTATTTCGTGGTAGCAAAGACGTAAATATACATAACTTAATATTTTATTCAAAAAAATTCACAGTTTTCCTTATTTATGACTTAATAAATATCGCAGTTACATGTTCAGAGTGCTAACTGCTTAATCGGAAATGTTTGCATTTGCAGAGGAAGATGAAGACCTCTACTCAGTAGAAAAGTCGGGCTTCGCTTTTTATCTACAATTAGCGCCACATTGCAAAAACAAAAAAGAAACGACGATGGCGCACTGTTGTTATCTCGACTATAGCCGCGTAAGCGGTGTCTAGGCCAGTTAAGTAGAAGAATTTGCTTTTTAATATTATCAACGAAATTTCGTCATGAATCCAGAACATAATAGCATACATTAATCATATAATGAATGGTGAGGAAAATGTGTTATAGGTTAAATGCATCATTGAGTTTATTTTTAGATATTTTAGCATGCACTTGGGGGCACTAAGCAATTACTGATTGCCAGGCGCTGACTTATTACTAATATGTTCGGTAAGTTTGTTTATTTCGAAATATTTTTTTCCGATTAAACACATATGATCGCCGCGGTGTAAAGATTAGCGGAAGACACTACTATTCCGAAAGGCCCGAGTAATAGTTGGCGCCTGCTGGTAGGCAATGCTAACCAGTATATTTCTGCATTAAAAGGATTCGCATGAGAAATACTAATCGCTTCTGACGTTGTTTGATGCTTATCAGATCTATGTACCTTGAGTATAATGGCAAGATGCAACTAGCTGAGGTATAAAAGCTTATATGAAAATATTAATACCGAATCTTACTGATTTTACACTTAAAGATAAAGTGTTATATACATATACATATACATATGTACAAAAAAATCACAAAACAAACAAAACAGTAATGCATACCGGATGAAGAAAGCTGCATGGATGTTGTTATAAAATGCTTTATAATTCGAAGATGATATCCATCCCTTAGTATTTAGTTGCTAACCTACTAATCTATCATGGCTACTCTTACCGCGCTTGCTGTAATTTCTAGTGTTCCATCAGTCATTTTTAATAAATATGCAAATGCCATAAACTATAAATGCGTCTCGTTACTGTAACGGCTTTTACTTTCTGATCTACTACGTTTAAAATATGATAATTAAAAATGCGTCATTGCAGCCTTATTAGTCAGCTGCTTGTTTTGAGAGAAAACAGGTTTACGATTTAATAAATGTTGTAGCTAAAAAAAATATTTTGTCCGCGATTTCTTTTTCATCGGCGATACGATTGTTTCAAAATTATAATATGCAAAAAAAAAAAACATTCACAAAAAAAAAAAAAAACACGGCGAATTCAGAGGAAGTGATGACAGTAGAGCAGGCTAAAATGTCAAATGGTTATTGTTTACAAGGCGAATTCATATTGTTTACTTTTTAAAGCCTTTAATGCCGGTTGCTGTGCTTATTAAGTGAATTTCGACAAATAAGTGTGAAATTGTAATTAATAGTTACAAACTAGTTAAAAAATTATGGGGAAATATTTGTTTTGTTTAAAGAAAGAGGTACACGGTAGATGTTACTTTTACAATATTCCCACTGATCCGAGGTGGAAGATATTGTACAACTATGCATTCTGGAACAAGTTCGAGCTGTATCAATACAAGTAAAGTGGCAATAATGGATTTCAGTACTCGGAGTTAGTTGTACACAAAATTGCAATTATATATTATTTAGATATCAGCTAAACTCAATTGTGGGCCGGTAAGTAGTGCATTCAGAAAATCAGATAAATTTTTAGTAACTATCGTAAGTTTCAACGTATCATCTACATAAAAATATACTTTAAAAATTTTAACAAATATTAATATGGTTAAATTTATAGAATCTGCATAAGATTAGCAATTAAGTGAATTGAACTATTTTTGCAATTGAATGTACCTTATCTAAAAAATTTAACTGATCAGCTTTGTGGTTTGTAGTGACGGCAGCTGTATAACAGCTGACTGTCAACAACTCGAATAGGGTAAACTTAAAATTTCACGTTGTATAAAATGTTTTTAAACGATTTTGATGTTAAGTTTAAATATCATTAAAAGGTATATATATGTTTAAAATATGCACTGCTTATTTCTCTAATCTTTTCTCGTAGAAATGATAAAAATTATTACAAATTTTAATTCCATTTTATGCAATTAACCACTTTTCGTATTTATCTCAAGTTGTTTACCCCATTTGTAGTGTTTCCCCTAAACGCAATTGTCAGCTATACAGAGCTCCAATCGATAAAGGTCACCTTGAAACGTCAAATTGTGTCACCTTGGTTGCTGCTGAGCGGGCATACAAAAAGAGAATTTACCTTTTTCTCCGCTAAATTTCGCAAATTTTGGATAAATTTTCGTAATTATTGTATCGAGTGACAAGCGAAGCAGTTCCAGTGCGTGCTAAAAGGCATAAACCAACGTACGTGCGTCGAAATCTCAATACCTCAGTGTGTGCTAAACGGTTAAAGCAGCGGATGCAATCTGTGCGCCAAAGAGTAATAAATAGTTGTTGAACAGTCTTAAGTCTGGACACTTTCGCTGCACTCCAGTACAATAAATAGACCGTTGAAATTGAAACATAGTTTAAAATACTCATAGTTTAAAACGCGTTTTACAGTATAACTGAAATTTTGGTACGAATTCATTGCATAAATTATTGAATATTGTTTATTTAATTAAAAGCAAAGTAGTAAAGGAAAAAATGCCAAACGAACGTTTCATTGAGCGTGGCTCACATAAGGGCAAGGGACTTGCAGTTTTCACCAGTGGTGGCGACTCACAGGGCATGAACGCCGCTGTGCGCGCGTGTGTGCGCATGGCTATCTACTTGGGATGCAAGGTATGTATTCCTTTTTACTGCCTATATTAGCAAGTTAGGTAAGAAGAGGCTGGGTTGTGGGTGTGTGCTAAAGGTATGCTTATCGGTGTGGCTAATTGACTTTTGTACTTGTGTGTATTTTGCTATCGAAATGTTTTATCAGGATAATTTATAATTAAATCTAAAGTGGTTATTAAAAACTGTTGCGTGGTATTAATGCATAACATGGCAATGGGTTTATTTTTAGTAAATGTTTTGTTGAAAACTACCATCAAAGACGTTTGTTTGCACATAGGTGCATATATGCATGTATACATATGCATTTGTATGATTTAATTGCTTGTAATGCACAAAAGATCGTCTCTCACTTGACGTTTTCCCATTACACTGATCTATCTCGCTAAATGTTGAGTATCTACAGCTAACTAAACGCCATTTAAATTGCCTCCAATGAAAGTGAAATTACAATTATTGTTTGCTGCTACAAATGAGGGAAATTCGTGCTAGCTGTATTATTTTATATAATTTATGAGTTAAGCTAAATTTCATGTTTGTTTTTAGTTCGTTTACTCTTATTTTAAAGCACATAAAAAAGAATATACATATATGCATGCATTTATAACGAAATGGAAAATTTCACTTTTTAATAGTTTTGACTTTGCTGTGCCCTTTTAAAATTCGTTGCCAAAAAAAAATTTATTGTCTATAGAATTGATGAACTTTGCCATTGTATATAACACTAATTGTTAATTTTTTGATTTTTTATTTCAATTATTTACCGTGTGCACTTATTTCGGAGTGGTTCCAATCAGTTTTAGTTAGTAATTTTTGTTTGTCTCTAAACATATTTCGAGTTTATTTACATTGCATAATTTAAGATTTATTTGGCTATTGTTTAAAAAATTCCGATTTTGTGTTTGTCTGTTGCGTGATTCATAATTGAAAACTTGCAGCAGGTGATTTTAAAAGAATCATTCTTATCTCTGTATTTATTCATAAATGCAAATATTTTGCTATCTTACACTAGCGTGTCGCATGTTTGCGTATAAATATAATCAAAACTAAATACTTCTTATACTTTACTATTACAAAAAAAAAAAAAAAAAAAAAAAAATGTATTTAAAGCTAGCTATATATATATATATTACATTGTTTTTAACATTTTTTTTTTTTAATTTATTATGATTATTATTATAAAAATGGTATTTTTCATTTTATTCTTTATAGGCCTACTTCATTCGCGAAGGCTACCAGGGCATGGTTGATGGTGGTGACAACATTGTTGAAGCTAATTGGGCATCTGTGTCTTCGATTATTCATCGTGGTGGTACAGTTATAGGTTCAGCACGTTGCGCTGAATTCCGCGAACGTGCCGGTCGTCTAAAGGCCGCTTTCAATTTGATTCAAAAAGGCAAGTGTTTACATTTTTTGGTGTTATAGTAAAAAATTAATTTTAAAAATTCAAAWTTTTTTTATAGGAATCTCCAACTTGGTTGTCATTGGTGGCGATGGCTCACTTACTGGTGCTAATTGCTTCCGTAATGAGTGGTCCGGTCTGTTGGATGAGCTGCTCGAGTCCAAGAAAATTACACCCGAGCAACGCAAAAAGTTCGACGTGCTACATATTGTCGGCATGGTGAGTATAAATATAATCAAAAACAGGAATGGAAAGTGTTTAGAAATTATTAAAGAGTGTAGTAAATGAATATATTTAGAAAATAGGTTTAGTTGTTTAGAAATTATTAAAGAGTGTAGTAAATGAATGTATTTAGAAAATAGGTTTAGTTACAGAGTTGTGACTTAATTAATTGCTTTAATAATTAATTTTTGCACTTTTTATGTCCTAACTGAAATATGTGTTTTTATTATTTAGGTCGGTTCCATTGATAATGACTTTTGCGGCACCGATATGACTATTGGTACCGATTCAGCTCTTCATCGCATCATTGAGGCTATCGACGCCATTGTGAGCACCGCCTACTCGCATCAACGTACATTCATTATGGAGGTCATGGGTCGTCATTGCGGGTGAGTTGCATGTGTTTGTTTTTATTGTTATGATAATACTTGTAGTTGAAATAACAAAAAAGTGCAAAGCCTAACATGCTTTAATACAGACTTCAACAAATTGGCATAATTAAAAAAAAAAAAAAATCTACAAAAATGGAAAGATAATATACATATACTAGGCCGGATAGAATTACCGAAATTTTTTAAACACTATTAACTTATTGCCTTTAACTGACATGCGATTTCCTTCTAAACACAGTTATTTGCCTGTAGTTACTGGTATTATTTCCGAAGCTGATTATGTATTTTGTCCTGAATCGCCGCCACCACAAGACTGGCCCGAACGTCTATGCAATAAGCTAATACAGGCAAGCAAAATAAGACATACTTCATACATGCCATTTGATAGTCGAGATCAATTGATCTTTCACACCCACTTTATTGCTGACAATTTTTGATTTGCGTATGAAAAAAAATAAAATAAAAAAATTACTGACCTAACTCAACTGAGTCGATTGGTTCAGCATGGCCATAAACAAAAATTAGTAAAGTAATTTTGTATATATTATATATACCATACATACATACATTTTATAGTCTTGCATTGCAGAATGTTATATGATAAATTGAAATAGTTTTAGTTTAGTTAACTTGCTTTTGTTCTTTCATTTGAAATGCTGAGCCAAGACGAGTTTCAAAGAGAGCATTCAAATATGTAGTGTTAGTTACACACACATATCTACTTTTGTACATGCATTGATATGCTAAAACTTTAAACAATTCAATTGGAATCAAGAATTGGCTACAAATAGTGTTAATTGAAAAATTACAAAGTGAATGTGTACATACAAACAAACAAACATAATAATGTGGAATAACTTCTCTAAAGTGTTGCTGTCAATGAGTTTACTGTTAAAAAATTTCATACAACCGTTTTTGTTCAATTAAAGCGTTAAACGTCAGTGACATTGCATTGTATCGCATAAGTGTAGCATACTTTTAGGGAACCAACTGGTGTAAATGAAGTTTTGGGCAAGTAAAACGCTTACAAATAATATTAACAGGTTTAACGTTATGAAAATACCAAATTAAATCATATCCATACATATGTACGTATTCACATGTATGTACTGCATATGTATATATCTTGAAATACCTAATTGCCATACCTCCGAAGTGGTCAAATTAACGGTGATGCTGTGTTATGTTATGTATTTGTTGTTGTTTTGTTTCAAATGGTGCGTCCATCTTTCTTTTACAGCTATCTGGCACTTGTAGCCGGTCTTTCCAGTGAGGCTGATTATATATTTATACCTGAAAATCCCCCCCGCGCAGATTGGCCCAATAGATTATGTCAGCAATTGTCGCAGGCAAGAAAAATGCAAAAAAAAAAAACAAATAATTTGATTTGTTAAATCAACACTATAAAACCATGAATGTACACAAATAATTAGAAGGCATACATTCATTTATTATAGCGACAGTCATCGTAGCTGCTATGGCAAAAACAAAATTCAAAATTTTATTTATTTTATTTTTCTCAAAATGAATTGGATTGATTTTACAATTACAAGCGCAATGCATCTTTTTCGATGTTTAAAGATAAATATTTGCAATTTTAAAATTAATGATTATATGTACATATATTCGACATATGGGTGTACATATGTATATTGGCTCAATGAGGTTAAGTTTTGAAAGTTCTAATATCAAATCGACAGTTAAAAAAATTACAAGAAAATTTTCTATATTACAATACTTTTTTGTTCACCCTCCCTTTTACTTCGAAATTTATACAGATGTTTCTCATGTGATATAAAGTTATTTCTAATCGGTGATTTTTTTGGAAATATTTTTTTTCTTTAATTAAAAGAAATTTAGAAAATATAACAACAAATTTTAAGAATAATATAAAAAAAATAAAATTAATTTTAAAACAAAAATTGGCAAAGATGTGTATAAGAGACAGCGACACGCTAGTGTAAGATAGCAAAATATTTGC